CTCAACCTCTCAGCACCCCGCCTGTTAGGAGACCCCCACCACAGCCGTTTTCAGCAGTTAGGTGGGACCTGGCAGGGCCGAGCTCTCTCAGACGACTCGGTGGCAGGAGGTTTGGAAACGAGCCGCTCTAGCTGCCGCCCCAGGGCTCGGGCTGTAGCCAGACCCTGTCCTTGCAGGAGGAGACGCTGTCGGGAATTTAAGGAACCGCAGCAAGGACCGAAAACGGTCAATGCCGTTTTCACCAAAAAAGTTCCCAGCTACGGAAAGTCCCAACTTACAGTATTCCCTCAGCTCCTGGCAGGCAGGTGCACAACTGGTGGGAAGTCTCCTCAGAGTCGTTCTCAAGGGGTGTGTTCTATTCAGTATCTTTGTAAAGGTCGGGGTACCAGCCCAGCGCGCACCCCCAAAGTCTGCGGAGGACAGGATGAGAGGAGAATTCAAACTGCTCTTGACCAACCGGAGAAGTGGCCTGAAATCAACAGGCCACCTACTGCACCTCTGCCCCCGCTACGCTGTTCCAACAGCCAATCTCCTCTCTGGGCTAAGGGTCTACACCGAGACACGTGCAGGTGGTCGGATTGAAGTACGATGGCTTGCGGGCAGGTCACCAGGTGAGCAGCGAGGTCATGCTTGCGCGCCAAGGGATGGCTGGTGACAACCTGCGTGTCACCTGCAAGCTCAAGCAGCGATCACGGCATCATCCCACTGGGCGGGCCTAGCCGGCAGCACGCGGTCTCAGCCCCACCCGCAACGATCCTAACCTGCCCTTCCCCATGATCAATAATAATGCAGAAAAGGACAGTGATGACCCTCCTTCCGTTCCACTAGGATCCCTGGTGCACATCAAACACCAGCTACTCAAAGTTGGACGTTTTTAGAGCGGCCGGCTCGTAGAACTCGCAGCCAAGAGTTTGAAAAGAGCTGGCCGGCCCAGTAATGGCGGTTTTCATTACAGGTGGGGCACACGGGAAGCTCCAGCGGGCTGGAAGAAAGAGAATGCGGGATATTCAGCCCGGGGAAGGTAAGAGAGCAGACACTACAGGACTCGGCAATATAATGAACGCCAAGCACCTGGGCTTAGAAAAAGTAGATCCTGTCAAATTAACTTCATTTCTTGTAATGAGCTCCCAGGTTTGGTCGCTAAAGGGACTGGTGTAGATGTCACCGATGTTGACCGCCGGAAGGTGTTTGCCTTGGGTCCGCCTGACCCCTGTGGTAAAAAGTCAATGGATGATGGACACGGCCCCCGCCGCGGGAAATAACAGAGGATGGGTCGCTGCTACCGCCCGAGCTGCAGCGTTGGGGAACAGCGTGTTTGAACACGGCTCAGTGGGAACAAACCGCCGGCCGTGCTGACCTGCTGGGGGGGACTGGGGGCTTGTGGCGGAGCTGCCCGTGCGACCTGCGGCCGAAAGAGCCAATGCCCCCCTGGGGTGCCGAGAGGGGACGCTCGCGTAGGTGGGTTCGGCCCTGGTGTGACCGCTGCGGCGATCCTGCAGCCACGGCTCTAGAAGGACGTTGATCAGTTGGGGAGGCATCGGAGAAGTGCCATGAGAATGATTCAAGGATTAGAAAACGTGGCTTGGTGGGAGGGACGCCCGGCGCTCCGGCTATTGAGCTGAGCACAGAGCAGGTGAGGCGGTGACTTGAGCCCAGAACAAGTAGTGAACGAACGGGATCGTCCAAATTCAGCCTGGACGGACGGTGTCTTTGCCGAGTTCTTCTACACGGGGCCTCGGCAAAGCATACTGTCCCAGCCGGAGCCTCTTCAGTTCCCCCGGGGTTGAGCCCCATGGCTTGTTGGCTGGGGGAGACTGAGGTGCCCCCCAGTGCGACGGCCCAGACGAGCCATGCCCTGGGCTGCAGGGGGAGGTGAAAAATCTCCCAACATCCCGGCTGATTTTGGGAGGGGGGAGGAACCCTTCTCCACCGCAAGTCTGGTAATCCTGAGCATGAGAACAAGACCCACCAGCCTGGCAGTGGAGAAGAGACATCTCTGGGACAGCCCGTCTCCCACTCTCTGGTGTACTATCCACATTATATAGATGGGGAAACTGAGGCACAGCAGCTAACACCCCCTTGGGTGAGCTGTGGGGGAATCTGGCATTTCCAGAGCAGCTCCTGTCTCAGCCGCCCCGTGTTTCAAACCCCGTCGAATGGGACGCGGAGCCGAGGGGTTGGGGCTCGGCCCACGGGCAGGTGAAGGCTCCCGCTAAGCTCTCCGCGGCGGAATTGGCGCACGGCCGGGCAGCGGTTCTAGGCCTAGACGCAGGAAGGCCCGGCCGGCTTGGGCCAACAAGCTAAATTATGACTTCAGTGGCACTTTGTTCTGAGGTGGGCAGGAGACCAGCTGAAAATCAACGCCATTACATCCCCCCCACCCCCACTCCCCTGCCAGAGCTGGGGAGAGAACCCAGGAGTCCTGGAGCCCAGCCCTGCCCCACCCCCACACCCCCAGGAGTCCTGGAGTCCAGCCCCGCCCCCATTCTAACCACCAGAGCCAGGGAGAGAACCCAGGAGTCCTGGCTCGGTGCAGTGTTATTCGAGGGGGGAGTTGCCGTAGCAGGGAGCTGGAGGGGTGACTGGTTCCAGGGGGGCAGAGGAGTGGCTGGCACAGAGGGGCTATCACACATAGGGGGGGTGGTTGGCTTGGGGCACTTTCCCCCCAAACAAACAAGCCCAAATTTTACAAAACAACCAAAAAAAGCCCCAATTTTATTGAGTGGCTCCCACACGGCTGGTTTGTTTCAAAAGCAAACCCCTTGGCTAGGAAAATGCAGCGCCCCCCGCCCCGCCCCACCACCACCTGCCCAAGCAGATTACAAAAGCAAAAGCTAACCAGCACCACTTGGTCACCCATTCCCCTGGGGAGGCAATAGCCCCCCGACACTTGGGGGGGGGAAGCAGTCTAGTTTCCCCGCCCCCCCCAAAAAAGGAGTGGAAGGACTGCAGGGTGGGTGGGTGGGGGAGAAGAGCTCCTGGGGGAGCGTGGAGAGCATGGGAGGGGTAGAGATGATCCTGGATTAGGCAGGAGCTGCAGTGTGTGTTGGGACACTCCTCCCCCACCATAGTGTTAACCCCTGGGGGAAGGGGGTAGGCACAGGGCAGAGCCGGGAGGCACTTAGCGTAGGCCCTACGTAAACACGCCAGGCACCAGCAGGGACCCCGGCCTGCTGGAGGTGGGGGCAGCTGTGGAGCCCCTCCCCAATAACCATCCCTGAGCAGGGACGGGGGGAGGGAGCTGGCAGAATTGGGGACAGGGCCATGATGGGGGGGGAGGTTTTGGAAGATGATGGGGGAGGGCATGGAT